GTGGCGGCGGGTCCCCGCCGCCGCGGCGAAGGGGAGGGCGTCCGCCGGCGGAGCCTCCTCGGCGGGCACGCTGTCGTCCATGCTCCCTGGAGAGACCCAGTAGTAGTCCCCGTACCTGACCGTGCCCGGGTAGGGCAAGTAGGGCGGCATGGCCAGATGGGCACTCATGACCGAGACCCCCAGCCCCAAGCAGACAGCGAGCAGAGATTGTGGTGAAGGCTGCGGGCAGGTACCCCATTAGGGGAAGATGGGAAGGGGGGGGTTGCTTTATGTCCTCCCCAGCCTGGCCTTGGCAAGAAGGGATTGTCACGGCCATTGTCATGTTAAAAAGTCAGTTGATTAGAGGGGAGGGGCTTTGGGGGGGGGAATATTCAGAGAGTGGGGGAGGGCTGGGACACCAGGCCTCGCTTCCCAACTTGGCTCCCAGGTGCCGTGGTGGAGGCCAACCCGTGGCTGCCAGCGCACCACTCCCTGCTGTGGGGGGGACCCCTGTTTCCCCCTCGGGGCCAGAAGGCCCGAGCAGAGCCGCCCGGTGAGTCGGACAGGGCTTAGCAGACACCATCCACCCCCCATTTAACACTCTTTTCTCCCCATCTCCGCCTCCTCACCCGTCCCCACCCAAAAGCAAAGAATGGAGGGGACCCCGGTGCCTGCTCCGGGGCATGCGGAGACGCTGCGTGTCTGCATTACAGATCGCAACCATCACGGCAAACAGATAAGCCCCTACCCCAAGTGAATACAGACTGGGGGTGGCACTTCGTAGCAGTGGCTGTATTTCAGGAAAGGGGGCTCAAAGAGAGCCAGGCTGATTCTGCAGCTGAGACAGGCAGGCCTGTCTGCAGGAGCACAGAGTTTCACCTTTTTCAAGCTTCCTGACACTTTAAAAAAAAATTCCTTTTAAAAGAAATGGTAGCTTAAAAAAACCCAAGGTTTATTTTCGCTGTGCACCAGAGAGAGGTGAGAATCCCACAGCCAGATCCCAAAGAAAGTGAGAGCAGTGCAACTACAAGAATATTAAAAATCTTAAGGATTTGAAGCCAGGGTCTACAGTCTATCTGTGGAAGCTAAACTCATCCCTCTCCCCCCACCCCTCACTATTACTGTTTCCTTTAAGGAAACAAAGCTTATTGGGAGGATCTCACAGCCTGGGAGTTACAAAACCTGGAAAACCACCTGGAATAAGTACAGATGAGGGCATGTGACACATTAAGCAAATTTCCCCACCTCCTCCGGTGCAAGGAAACAGGGCACAGGCACCTACCTCTGTACAAAGGCAGGGGAGCAGCTACCAACCTGTTGCACTGTCAAAAATCTTGTGGAGGCAACAAAGAGGGGCCTCCTTTGACTTCCATATATCTCCTCCTCCCCTCTTGAGTCATCATGAGAAACGAGCCCCAGCTGGTGCTCCAGACCCCCTGCCCCTGGGTAACGCTGCTCCCCCAGAAAGGAGATGGCCTTCTCAGACCCACCTTTGATCACCTCATTAACGCTGCCCTGGCTTCTTGGTTAGGATCCAGGCAGGATCCAGGCAGGGAGATGATGAGGAATGTGGGGGAAAGTGATTATAATTGAGCAAGAGGGACGAAATGCAGAGCTGAGACAGAAGTCACCCTGTGATTTTCGTCCAGATGGCTTGACTACTGCTGTCAGTCCCACTGATCATAGAATGGTTATGGTTGGAGAAGACCCTTAATGTAATCAGGTCCAACCGTTATTTAACCCTACCATGCCCACTTCTAAACCATGTCCCTGAGTGCCATATTTAGAGAGCTTTTAAATAACATCCAAGGATGGTGATTCAACCACTTCCCTGGGCAGACTGTGTCAGTCTTTGATAACCCACAGAAAGGGATTCCCCCATGGATATGAAGGTGGGGCCGAGGGCCACTGGTCCCTGTGGTCCCCCATGGACAGAGCTGCCCTGGGACACATGTGCTCCGTGTGGGAACTCTCCGAGTTCCCCAAAACCACCCTGGTGCAAAGACAGAGAAAAACACAGGGTGGATGTGTGTGTGTGTGTGTGTACATGAAGCCCTTGCGTTTGGTGATCTTTCAGCGGTAACACCTTAAGAGGTGCCCCGTGTCTGCCTCTATACCAGGCTAAATGATTTTCTGTACTGATGCAGTACTATGGTGAAGGACACTCGGCTGGAAATCCTGCTGCCTAGCTCCAGGAGGCACTGCCGCCCCCCCCTGCCTGCAGCCTCCTAGTCATCGGAGGGGACACGGCTTGTGGGGGATATCCTCGGCAGAGGGATTAGCATTTTACAGCTGGAGTAACACCGCCTCCGCCAGCAAATTGTCCCTCGAGGAACTGGGGGCTGGGAGGTGTGTTTGGAAACGCAGCAGAACTGCTAGTTGGCATTTTTGTTTATAGATCAGTTTTGATGCATAGATCAGACTTCCTCCCAAAGAGTAGTGTACTGTTAAGCAGTAGTGTGCATGGAACTGGTTTCATTTCCCTTCTCCTTCTTCTTTTTCTGTCTCCTTTCATATTTTGATCTTCTCATCCCATTTGTCTTCTGTTCCCTTTGTTTTGATGCTTTAACCACCAAATCTCTTTTCCGTATATCCCCTTTCCCATAATTTGCTCTCTCCCCAACTGTACCTTTAATCAGATGACCAAACATATCTTTTTTGTCTTTATGAGAGAAACAAGACTTGTGTGAGTGTATAAAACCATACCATCTCAAGTCAGAATTTATTTAGCAAAAGAAATCCAGTTATTTCCCCCCATATAAATGATATACATATAAACATACTGAAAGGTAAATCCAGAAGTCATACAGGCACAGAGGATGCTATGGGAATCATGATACAGACTTTTGAGACTCTCCCCAGAAAGCTAGGTCTGGGACATCTGCCCTGTGGCACCATCAGCCTGGGAACTGAATATATGGCCCATTAACTTCTAGAGCTGACATGCTTTTAAAAAGTACCTGTTGGGAATGACTCATAGAGCAGATGCAAGTACCCACTCGTGCTTCTTTTGGAGCTGTTTTCAACTGAAACAGCAACACAGTTCAGATCTAGTCTAGTCCTGTTCTTCCCAACAGGGCCAAATAGCAGCAACAATTTGTTTTTTTTCCCCAGGGTTGTTTCCCCCTCTCTCTTCATGCTGTGGCCACCCCTCTCTTTTGCAGTTCTCAATTCACGACATGCCTAATACTGGGGAGCATGTGTCAGGTGAGTAAGCGTAAGTTGGCTTTTTAAGTACATGGAAGTGAATGTGTTCACTCACTGGGCTGAAGCATGCCTTAACAAGCCTTTTCCATAATCATTCAGCAGCAAAGATAGAAGCTCAGATCTAAAAGCAGTCTTGGCCTCTTGGCCTGAGTGCAGGTGATACAGGACTGTGGCTGGAAGATATTTTCATCCAGCAAGTTCCCCCTATAAGGGATACCTCGTTAGTTTCAGTAGGGTAACTGCCTTCAATGGTCTGGAGCTCAGCCTTGTGCTGAAGTGATGCAAACACCGGTTTGCATGGACTGAAGCTGGGGAAGCAGCAGCTGGCTGATACTGTAAATCCAGCTCTGGAGCTCGTACCACTGGGGCAGAAATACTATGGGTTCCTTCCTCAGAGCGTTGCTAAATAATTATCATCAGCAGGTTAATGTTATAGTGGTAGAGGTTATCTCAAATTTTAAGTATATTGGGTGCTTTCCTTTAGCTAACTGGGTCCTCCTTTAGCTAACTCAAACATTGGTCATCTGTGTTTTGGTGAATACTGTGAAGGATCACTGTGTGTCTCTGTCATTCTGCTCATGTTTGTGAAGCTCAGTGAGGCAGCAGGGTGCAAGCTTCATATTAGTGAACAGGGACCCATGGTCTGAGCCCCATTAACCCTCAGTGGTTTCCCTGGGAGCCATCATCTTCTGCCAGGGAAGTGCGTGGCTGGGAAAGGCGGGTAGAAATCCCTCCCTTGTTTTCTGTTGAGTGTCTGGCTTTTCTCCCAAGCAGGCACATTTGATTTTTTTAATTTTTTTTTTTTCTTCTTCCCGAATTGAACACTCCTCAGGTTAGGTGTACGACAGCACTCCTGCCCTGCGGCCATCACTACTCCCAGCCCTTGGCTCCGGCCAGCTTGCCCCCTGTAGCGTGGTCACAGCTCGCAGTCTGGACCCGAGATGCCACGTCTGTGGGAGGACAAGAAAGAACAACAAAAATTAGACTCTCATTCATATTGAAATACAGTTTTCCTTTCTCTTGACTCTTAAGGGGAGCAGGTCGAGAAAAAGCACAAAGCTGCTCCCTCCCACTAACAACCCAGTCTCTCAATCACCCGAGAACGACTGGATGATGTAGCCTTTTGTTAGTAGCGGAGAGGCAGACTGGGACAGAGGAGCCGTGGCACAACACCGAGGGACTCCCAGGAAAGGCAGAGAAATTGCCTATCAAAAACCAGGTGGGACGCAGGCTAGTGAGCCAACCCAAATTTCTAGGGTTTGATGGGTCTGTTCTTTCTTAACCAACCCTTCATCCATGCCTGCCACGCACATGATACTGGAGTGCTATATAAAGCACTCATCTCAAGAACCATTCCCTACCAGTGGCCATCAACTGGAATATGGAATAGCGTCCCCAAGGGAAGCTTTGTGAGCAGCACAGCTCGGAGCCAGGGTTTTGCAAAGTCCTGGAGTACACAGAGAGATTGTGCGTATTGGGCAAAAACCTTCCAAGTGTCCTCTCCGCTCGGATTCTCTCCTCTTCCCTTTCGTTGTTTCTCAGGCTCAGTTAGGTGTCCTCTTATTAAAAGCAAGTGGCATAGCTGTGTGCAGTTGCTTTCTGCCGTTGCCACCACCAGAGGGGAATAGCAAGTCCTGTGTAGGAAAACAGTGTAGGAAAGCCTTAGGAAAGCCTCAAAACATGAGTCACCTCCCCCTTCCTCCTCCAAAAGGATGCTCTGTATCAGGCACTTTGCCTTATTCCCCCCCCCCCCCAAACACCACGGCCTTATGAAATAAAACAGGCCATTTTTTTTTTCCTGAGGCGGCTTTGCTCGTCTTCCCCATTCTGATGGAGGCAGTTCCCTACAACTCAGACAGCGAGAAAAGCCTATGCAAAATCCATCACTGCCAGAGCCTTCGGTTCAAGCATGGCACTGAAGTGGTGGCTGATTTCCACCTGCGCTTTCTTGAGTCCACTGTGTACTGTGGCACCTGCTTTCT